TGCCCTGTAAGCAGGCATGGCCAGGCTGGGGCCCCAGGAGAGGCCAGCAGACCAAGGGGTGCTCAGGTCGATCTGGCCCTCTATGATGTGCAAGACTGCCCTGCGGAGTTCAGATCAGACAGCTCCCCTAGGGCTAAAGTCTCCTATGGGAGCAAGCCATGCCTAGGGGGATGGCCATCCCTGGTTGTGCTCTGCTACAAACACTCCCGCACCAAACCCTCTGGGCTCCACATCAGCTGGCTTGCTGCCCTTAGGAGGCTTGCTACCACTTCTCTAAGCAGCTCTCCCTGCTAACTTGAGTGTTCATGGTGGTCAAGGGGTCTCCTCCTGCTGGGGTTCTGGAGGCCTGTGGCGAGAATGGATTGCTCCTTGTCAGTTCTACTGACCCATTTCCCTGGAGCCACTGGGGACCAGGAATGAGTTCCCCCATGCAGTGTTCCCAGCTTTCTCCCCTTCAGCCCAGCTTCTGTGTCCTCCCTCCATCCACTCTGGGTGCCCTCCCTCTGAAGATCTGTTAAGAGCACACCTGTCATCTGGATCCCTGGGTGGGAGCTGTTCCCTCTGGCTGCCTCCAGATGACTTTTATGCATCTAAACTGAGCATGCTTTCTGTAATACTGAAAAGTTACGGTGCAGCTTGTACTTAAACACTTCTCATGGGAGCATGGGAGCACTAAACCATCCAAAGTGGCCTCGCCTACTCTTGGGCAGAAGTATTAGAAGACCATGGTAAAGTTGGGTAAAATTTATCTTTTTATTGCTTCTAACAAGTGGCTGTATCAATTCTTGGAACAAAATTGAAACTTTTTTTTTTTTTTCTGAAATGTCTTTGGGAACCTGTATTTTTTAAATTTGAGCAGACCATCTATGTTTCTTTTTATACAAATAATTGTACCATTCTCTTTGTTGGAGGAAATAGAAGTAGATGATAGTATTTTTTATTCTGTGATATGTTAGCATTATTCCATATTATCCAAACTTAGCAGCTACTTTTTCCCTGTCACTCATTTTTTATTGTTAAACATTTAAAACATATAAAAAGCCAAAGAAAAATCACATGAGGGACACTTGCCTCAGACTCAAACCTCTTGTGCCTCTTCAGATTTCACTGGTGCCACCTGCTTCCTGGGCTTCCAGCCACTGGTTCCACCTCCACTTCCTGCACCAGACATTCTTCATGGTTCTTCTGCCTGGGGCTGCCCAGTCTCTTGTCCTTAGCATGTTGGGCCCTTTGGATCCCCTTATATAGCCAGGCTGACCAGCTGCACCCAGGGTTTCTGGCTCTTCTGCTACTACCAGCCTTGGCTATAACTGCCTACTACAGGGTATGGATCCAGTATCCAGAATGAACTCCTAGAGGTCGGATGATTCCATCCAGCAGTTGGAGGGGGACTTGCTGTACCTTGGGGTGACCTTTGACCAGTTAGAAATAAGAGATGGAAGACAAGTAGCAGATTCATTCCTATTCTGTCTCCCTCCCTTGGATGACTCCAAGACACTATTTCTCTTTACAGAATGGCTGGTGAAGCTCCAGTGTTCCGACTGGAGGCCCCTGCTGAACAGCTCTGTTGCTCTTCCTGGCTCGTGGTAGAGCAGCAGCTGGGGTGCTCATGCATTCATTAGCATTGCTGCAGGTCTTTCACTGCACTGCTTTCCTCATACTTGCAGTCGTAGGGGCCCCAATGAAGCATAATTATGTCAGTCTTTGCCTCAGGTTAGAGTCATGAGAACCCAAGCCAAGAGGATACCTTGTAGATACTACATATGATAAACAGGGAACAATTCATTTTTTGTTTGTTATGCCAAGTATGGAGTACAAACTCTTCTTTCTTCTTTGAGACAGAGTCTTGCTCTGTCACCCAGGCTGGAGTGCAGTGGTGCAATCTCGGCTCACTGCAACCTCCGCCTTCTGGGTTCAAGTGATTCTCCTGCCTTAGCCTCCTGAGTAGCTGGGATTACAGGCATGTGCCACTATGCCCTGTTAATTTTTTTATTTTTAGTAGACACGGGAGTTTTGCCATGTTGGTCAGGCTGGTGATCAAACTCCTGACCACCTGCCTCAGCCTCCCAAAGTGCTGCAATTATAGGCTAAACTATTTGTGTGTGTGTAGCATTTAGCCTCAACTCATTCTGGAACTTACTCTTCATGACATTTTAATATGCAGGAATTCATTTCATAATTTATACTCTTTAAACAAAACCGTAAGAGTTTCTACCAGTTTCTCACTGGCTTAAAAAAAAAAAAAAAACTTAATTGATTTTCTTCTACTTGCGTGTAAAATAAAAGAATAAACTGACAATAATTGGGTCATGAATTTTTACTAACTCATATTGACAAGGGTTCTGTTTCATTCCTCTTCATTTTGTGTAGGTGGGAGGCCCTGTAGCTTGGCCATAATATTAAAAGTTTAAGTAGATATTTCCAATTTCTCCTTCTGGCAATTAAGAGTCACATCATTTCAAGGTCATCTATCATTCTTATTCTTGACATTACATCTGCCTAGATCTACATTTCTGAATTGACATGTAAAATATGATGTATATCTAATTTTTATACATTTTTTAGTATGAGGCTCAACTGCAGGTAATTCAAATTATGTGGAACAACTTTTAGGTTTGGTCTTTAAAAAAAAATGATAGTTTCTGCTTACACATCAATATAGTATTGCTCATGTTAGGATCATTACCTGTTATACTTTATGTTGTTAACCAGACCTATAAAAATATTCTTTTTTTGTGAATAAAAATTAAAAGGCCTATTTAGCCATGCTTAATGAAGACAGTATGCACATACATGAAGTTCATAGATTTCCGGGAAGAAAATAAATATAAAATTTATGAAAGGAATTGGAACATATGGATGTGCAGGGTTGGTAGGTGAAACTGCATGGTTTTGCGAACATGAAACTTTTTAAGTATTTATTTTTAATTACCTGCTTTAGATTCACATTAGCCATACAATTATGCCAGTTTAGATGAAAGGATACTGAACTTTGTTCTGTGAGAGATGTGTGCTGTTAATATTTATGGCTATTAAAAAGCCCCGACTCCATCCATGCACTCCTATCAAGATTAGGATGCTATTGAAGCAGTGGCTATCACAGACATTTTTGAGTGCTGGGCAGAAATGTTCTCAGGAAGGTGACAGGTCATTCTCTTCACAACACAATGGAGATTTATGAAATAATCTGGGGAATGTCTAACTGTTCAAGCCTGTTCCATGTCAAGTTTACCTGCATTCCATGTTTGGGTAAGTGTATTTTCAAAAAGTTCTCTTTCACTGTGCCCAGAGTAAAGCAGACACTCGCCACGTACAGCCACCCAAACACCTTAACAACAACAGGTATCGAATTGGTATATTCACCCAGAAAACAAGAGCTTCAGAAAAATATGAACATTTCCCTGGTGAAGCAAGATAGTGAAAACATGTACAATTTTCCAAGATATAATTTTTACAAAGTATTTTCATTACAATATGACTTTTAAATGAGTTCTTGTGGGACTGAGAACAAACTGTCTCCTGCACACGAAAAATGACCCTCCGAGGAGTACCAGTGGACATTGATGACCGGGGGCATTTGGAAAACTTCAGCTTAAATGGTGAATATGAACTTATTTTATGGCGTAGATGCAAAAGCTGTTTCTAAGGAAAAAAAAGGAGAGGAACAGATGAAATAAGGACAGAATGATGTCTCTAAGTGTTGTAGCTGAGAATAGGGATATGTGGGTGTTCATTAGAATTCTTGGGGGGTGAATGTTTGAATATTGGTCTAGTATTTCTAAAAGGATTCCATTTCTTGACTTGGGGTCACGCAGTCCTGAGTTGAATTAGAGAAGTGGAGAGCTACATTGTGTTTGAGATTCACTGAGCCATTTCCTGGGGGAATTCATGCTGATAAAGAAAAGCTTCCTCTTCTCTTTGGAGGCCTTGAGAAGGGAAGGAAGAGGGTTCTTCCTCTAATGGTGGGCCCGTGAGGAGGCTGGGAAGTGTGACTTTCTCCAGTAACCAGCTCTGTTCCTTTCCTCTTTTTCCAACACTCATGTGTCCCAAATCCCAGCCCCTCTTTCTCTCAGAGTCCTTCTGCCACCTCCCAGAACTGTAGAGCTGGGCGCCGTCAGGAGAGCCTATTGAAGCGCCTGCAAAATCTAGAGGCAGCTATGCGTTGATTCACTCGCTTCCCACCTGTACTGTTGCTTTGTGTCACCTCTGATTTGGGCATTATAACTAGAACACCTGAATCTATCAGTGGACTTTATGTCCTGGAAAAATATTCATTCCTCTCCACTAGATGCTTGCTCTGCAGTGTTTCATGGCAAACGGCAGTGCACTCTTTGATGTTTTGTGGAGCTGACCTCATTTATTTTATTCAGAGTCTTCAGAGCATCAGATCACCTCCCTGAACAGGCTTGAAAATTCCTATGGTACAGCCAAGTTTATTCCTTTCCTCACATAAAAGTGATACCAGAAGACAAAGGCAAAATCTAGAGACCAGCACTGTGATGTTGAGCTGGTAAGGTGTAAGATGACAGAGAAGTCACCGATACCCACAGCAGTACTTTGCACACAGCAAATGTTCAATTGGTTTTTGAATGTTTAATACACCATATACTAGGGTACTGATTCTCTTTCATATTAAGACGGAAAATGAACTCCTATTATAGGAAATGAATTTGCCCTGAGCAAGGAAGAGCTTTCTAAAATGAGAGTTATATAAGAATTAAATAATCTGGGAGATAAGCGATTTTTTTTTCTGTCATTGGAGGTTTTCAAGAGGTCTACCTGATCCATATAACAGGGAAATGACAGGGGTAGGCCAGGTGCCTGGTGACTCTGAGGTCCCACAATGATATATACAACAACAGTCTTAGAGGTGCCAGGAAATCTGACAGCGTTAGTCTCAGTGCAGTGTTTGGGATTGTCCTATACCAACCTCAAGTTAGAAGCTCAGGATTTTATGAGTCCCAGTTGTAAGTTAAATGGAGAAAGAAGAGGATGAGAAAGTTAGTTAAATAGTTTAATCAGAGCGGTTTTACAATTCTAAAATTAACAAGCAGACTTGTAATAAAAGAGCTCCAATGTTTGCAAAATGACCTTGTTTCCATTCTGAATCTGACTTTTTAATTGTAAAGGTTAGCATTACATTTAAAAGGACTCAAAATGGAAAAAAATGGAGTGATGTATATTATCATCCGTGTTTTGTGATGCAACTGATGAAATCCCTGAATGGATATTGCTTCAGCTTTAATATTAAAAAATGACCTGACAAGAAGTCCTTAATCAACAAAACTGATCACAGGTGGCTGAAAGAAAGAGAAAAGCCCAAAACTACTGTCAAGTTCATAACGTATCACATTGTTGGTGGATGACACTGGCTCCAGATATACAATTAAGCCCACGACACTTTATTACTATGAATATAATTATCATGAAATTTCTCTCACGTTGATCAACTTGTTTCCGAAGGTTTTCTTTGTTCATTTAAACTTGCATAATAAACATGCAATGAATGGTTTCTTTTGAAAGTGTATTTTTTGCAGTCTTTTTGTTTTCATACAAAGATTTCATAAAGTTGCAATGTTGCATCAGAGCATTACCAAAATAATAGCAGGAGCATATGGCGGGGGCCGGGGGGGGGGGGGGCAAATATGAATGTAGCTGAATGAGAAGAGCCTCCTTTCGTCCTGAGACACACCACCCGCTTTTTTTTTTTTTTTCTCTTTTTAAGGTGCAAACTGCTTTTCTTACCCTCCCCCACCAAAGAAAAGACTAAAGGAAAAAAAAAAAAAAAACCTCATAAAATCAATCTAAGAAAAGAAAGGTCGACATAAAGAAAATAAAGATGTTTTTTCATGCACATATCTTCTGCATAGCTCAACCCACATATAGTAAGGCACTATTTCCCTTCGCAACTGGTGTCCATGGCAGTCTGTTAAGTGCTACAGTGCTCTGTGACCATTAGACAGCTTCCTTCCAGGATGGTGAAATAAAGAGGCCGGGTGAGTGTGGCTGCCACGCGTCTCTGTGAAGGTCCCGTAGCTCGAGGAGACTCCAGGAGCCTCAGAAGAAAATCTGTCTATGTGTGTTATGACAGTGTCCAGAATGGTTTTCTTTCCAGAATTCATTTTTTTGTCTGAGTATGAATTTAGATTATTCTTCCGTGTTTAGTCTCAACGTAAATACAGACGGTGGCGGGGGGTGGGGAAACAGGTCTCCCGAAACAGAGTTTCGATGCTCCCAGAAAACACACAACGCTGGCAATTCACAAAATCAGCAAAATGTTTCCAAGAGAGCAGAGAAATTGAGAGAGGGGTGGGGTTTTGGTTTTGAGAGGTGATTGGGGTCTGAGTTTGTTTAATTTAGCTGGTCCTCATACTGTTTCCGGAAACAATCCCCTGCTGGGAAAAATTCCCAGCACCTTTCTTGATACATCTTCCAGACATAAGATTCCTGTAAAAGTCAAGGAAATGTATTAACATTTTCCCCTGTGTGCTAACAAAACATAAGGTAGAAACTCAATTTTGTTACCTATATCACACGCAATAGAAGTCCAATTCATTTAGATGGTTCCTAACTAACTATACCAGACCTTATTAACTTCTAGTAATAATCTTCATCCTGACCATAATAATGATTAAAAATATGTTGGCTGGGCATACTGGCTCACGCCTATGATCCCAGCATTTTGGGAGGCTGAGGTGGGAGGATCGCTTGAGCTCAGGCATTCGAGACCAGCCTGAGCAACATAACAAGATCTTGTCTGCACTAAAATAATAATAATATAATAATAATAATAACAATAATATAATAAAGCCAGGCGTGGTGGTGCATGCCTGTAGTTTCAGGTACTTGTGGGGCTGAAACAGGAGGATTTATTGAGCCCAGGAAGTCAAGGCTGTAGTGAGCCCTGATCACGCCACTGCACTCCAGCCTTGGAAAACAGCAAGACCTTGTCTCAAAAAATATATATGTATATGTGTGTGTGTATAAATATACATTTATGCTTTTGAGGGTTCTCTTAAAATATTGTATCCTTCAAATTCAAACTAACTGCACATTGGAAGAGGAACTTCAAATAGCTTAAATGCCTTAGACATTTAATATGCATTGTACATAATACTTTGAAGTTGATTGGAAATCATCTATCTGATTAAACAATCAAGGACATTATGCAATAATTAAGAACTCAATTTTTTAAAATAATGGAATTCAAAACTCAAATCCAGCATTTGCAGTTAGTAAAAGCTTATTGTTTTACATAAAATTAGTATAGAATTCTACTGTAACAAAGGCAATCTTTTCTATACTCATTCAACATAACAGGAACTTTATATCAAGATACCACAACTAATATCTGAAAGTAATTCCATCCCTCACTGTTTAATGCACACATTTTGTTCTGATATTTAGAGCTTCTCTGTAATTTCTTTCAGAAGATGACACGTAATAATTTACCTACCTGTCCTGTGTGTTCTGTTTCGTCTTTGTTTATAAGATACATCAGAAAAAACCTACAGATACAGAGAGACTGATCAGAAATGAACCGTATGGAAATATTAGGATAAACAGGGCATATTTAGATAAATTGTATGCTGCATTCAATTATGGCCAGCACAGAGAAAATACCACATGCAAATTTTTGGAAAAATTACAGTGTACCAGAAAGAGGAAAGGCTGTTGATCTGACTTTTCTGATCTGCTGCTATTTGACCCTAGAGGCTTCAAGTTAGGAATATATACATTGGTCAGAATCAAATCGACACTGATGAATTAGAACTGAAGACTAGCTTAAGGAGAAGTTTTAATTTACTGATCAAGTTCCATTGAGTATAGTTAGACCAATTTTTTCCCTATAATGCTACTCGGCATCTCTTCTGTTTGTTACCAAAATTGGGTCCAAAAATGAGTAAGAACAGCATTTTAGCAAAGTATAGTTTTGGCTAATCTCGAGTAATGGAAAGATTTCTATGTATTAATATTTTTTGAAATCAGCTTTTAAGTTGGTATCCAACAGTGCCTGTTGAGATCTGAAAGTCCTCTTAAGATCTGTAAGAAGAAAAACGGAGACTCGCCTCTCCCTAGGAAGCAGCCTGGGAAATCTTATCTAAAATGAGAAACGTGACCACGATTTGCAGAGAGGCTCTGCTCCTCCCTGTCCACCTCTTCATTTCAAGTTCTAGAAAGTATCATTTACATGAAGAGCTGCAACTTAACTTCTTAAGTCAACCTACTCCAGAGGAAAAGAGAGCCATTAGCTGTTGGTCTTTCTCTTAAAGCATCTGCAGCAATTGTTTTTTAAACAAGAAACAAAAACCTCTCTATTCTGAGATGGGTGGGGACTGGTGGCAGCTACTGGAGAGGTGGAAGATTCTGAAACGGGCACACTCACAAGTAATTAGCCAAGTTGTGCTCCTGTAAAGTGTGGGTTTCAAAGCCATGTGGCACTGTGTCGAAGTAATCATTGCCTATCCCACAGATGAAGCATTTGGTCTAGAAAACAAAGGGAAACATTAACGTCAGAGTTCAGAAAGCAAAACAAAAGGAAAACACAACTCGCCATGTAGGGGCAGCTATTATTTGGTTCACTCAATACACGTCAAAGATCATCACATGGAGGCTGTGCCAAGCCCACAAATATAAATAGAACTGTCTCTGTAACTATCTTGGTGTTGGCTTAAATGACACAGGTACCAGCAGCAGTAAGTAGCAGACACAGACAGGGAACAAGAGGATGATGATGATGATGGCTGCAAAGCAACGTCTCTTCCTTTCTCTAGCCTAGGTGAAAATGTCCAGGCTTAGTGATCAACTCTTGTTCATGACATTGACTGAAGTTATCTAAGCAAGATTAACTGTGTCCTCAACTGAAACTACAAACTTAGTACCCACCCACCCAAAGTCTGATGACCCAGGGGGAAAAGGTGCAGACCACTTTCCTTTAGAAAAGGCCAAATCAAATATCAAGCTATAAGGCATCCCATCTACAATTCAGTGAGGGTCTGCCAGGTGCTGTGCTAGGTACAGAATTAGCCAGTGGATGTGTATGGAGAACAACTTTCAACTCTAGGGACCAGATTCCTGGTCGTCTTGGTTCCACTTTCTCTGGACCATGCCTCTCCTACGCAGCCTGTAGAGAGGCATCTGCTTAGGTCTGCTCCTTGCAGACAGGCCTGGTCCACAAAACCCAAGGAGAAGCAGACCCCCTATTTTATTATTGGAATTGTACATGTACCATTTCAAATGTATTCAATAATTGTCCCATGTGACTCTGGTGCTCATCTTTCCCTACCAGTTGTAAGCTGTTTTATGCCATCTGAAGCATGTTTATGAGGTCCTGTATTTTAGGAACTACAATCAAGATGATTATCATAGCGTATAAAATTCTTCCTGCCTTATTGATCACTATCTGCTGACAGCTGATAGGCCACATTGAGCAATTGGGGAGAATAATCGATCAGGTCTTCATACCACTCCAATGACGTCTCTTCCATTGAACTGGCTCAAATCACACTCGTCAGCTTTACCGATGAACCTGTTCTTCCTCTGGGTTACCTGTGTCAGCTAACTATGCCACCATCCCTCTGGTGGCTAATGCCTGAAATCTGGATATCCCCTTGCTTGCTCCATCCTCTCCATCCTCTGCATTTGGCCAATCACCAAGTCCCTCACTGAGGATGCAGGAACAAGATGGATTCAGGCAGTACTTGCCCAGCTCCCAGGTGGCACCTCTTTAGCAAAAGCTTCAGAGGCTCCCACCTGGAAAATGCTGACAGCTCAATTCCCTGTCCCTGTTCTTGCCAGTTTTGAGTTCATGCCTCACATTTTAAACCAGTGATCTTTTAAAAATGCAAATCTGATCATCTGACTGCCCTGCCTAAAGCCCTTTTCTTGTTTCCCACAGCCCATATATTAAACTAAATTTCTCAAATGAGTGATTAGGTTCTTCATTCACTGGTCTTCCTCTCCAGCCTTGTCCTCAGAATTAAATCTGCATCTGGTAGCACTGAGGCTGCTAAGAAAAAAACCTGCGCATCAAATTCCCTAAAATTGGTCTTGGCATATAATTTCAGGTGGTGATGGGCCCAAAGATCCCACTGTGAATGGTACCCCTGGAGACGTCCCTGGTGTGGGAGAAGGGGGTGGGACGTTGCCCAAACTGTCCTCCTCTTTCCTTTTCAAACCCACAGACTTCCACAGTCTTCAGGCCTCAGCTCAGACATCCCTTCTTCTAGGAAATTCCCTGACCATCCAGGAGTGAATCGGATACCAGCCCTGGAGACCCTAGCACTCAGGGTTTTACTCCTATAAAGGACTCACCACACTGCTCTGTAATCATCTGTTTAGTTGTCATTGAATCTTTGGTTTTGAATGAATAGTCTCACTTCTGGAGGGAAAGGATGGTGTCCTATTGCTGTTTGCATGCACGTGGGGTCCACCACGGTTTCAGCCGACCACGCTGTTCAACTATATGTATTGCTTGAATGGAAAACAGGCTAGTGAAACCACGAGTTGTGCCCTTTCCCCTCCTCCTTCCCATATTCATGATTCTCTCGATAAAGGCAGTAAGGAAAACCAGCGCCCAGGACAACAAAAAGGCTGAGTCATGAATGGAGAAGCTTACCTCCATGTCTTCTTTGACTTGTTCCTGTTGGTCTCTTAGTTCTCCAAAAGCATCGATAATTAGACCTGGTGTTAAATAAAAACACAATTTAATCTTTATCAAGCAATGAATAATTCAGTTCCTTGGCTGATCCCCTCAGGGAAAGGGGAGATGTACAACTACTTTGCAAAATGCTCAGAACATGGTAAACGTGACTACATATCCGATACTCCTAGGAGAAGGGAGGCGGCGTTCTCTCCTTGGGGGCAGAAGTACTCTGCAGTTACTGCGACATACACTCACTGAAAGAGTGTTTTAAAATGAAGTGACAGCAGGAAAAAGCTTTTGTTAACTTGGCATATACAGATGTTATTACATACTTCATGCTGAAAAAGAGCAGCTGAGGTTTATGAGTAAGTACAGAAAGCTCCACTAATAAGATTTTTCAAGTACTAATGTAGAAATAAAACATGACCACTTAAACGAAGAAATTTGCCTCAAGTCACTTTTTTTTTTTTTTTTTCGAGACAGTCTTGCTCTGTCACCCAGGCTGGAGTGCAGTGATGCGATCACAGCTCACTGCAGCCTCAACCTCATGGGCTCAAGTGATCCTCCTGCCTCAGCTTCCCAAGTAGCTAGCATTACAGGTGCATACCACCACACCCTGCTAATTTCTGTTTGTAGAGACAGGGTTTCATCACGTTGACCAGGCTAGTCTCGAACTCCTGGGCTCAAGCGATCTTCTGGTCTCAGCTTCCCAAAGTGTTAGGATTACAGGCATAAGCCATGGTGCCAGGCCTCAAATCACTTTTTTTCACAAGTCCCTTATAAGTAAGCTTCCATAATTTCATTGACTGTGGCAATCAGAAACACTGCGTTGTTTTAAGCTCCTTTTCTCTCCTGAGACCTGCTGGCTTCATACTTTCTTCCAAGTTATAACTTTGCCCTCTTAGAAAACACATGATTTTTACACTCAATAAGAGCACAATGAATGAATTATGAGTCCCTTAAACTTGTCCATGGTACTTTACTAAAAAATAGTGTCATTTGATGTCTGTGGAATTTAGATTGTCACATTTACAGACATTTAATTAAAGCTAGGATAAATGTGTTAAGCAGAAAAGATAACATGACATTTCTGAGAGAGAAAAACACCACACTCCAAGTTGCCCAGAAGTAAAAGGAAGAACTAGTGGGTCAGTACCAACACTGTGGTTGCAAGGGGTCTGGATCCAGATTCCAGCCCTGTTTAGCTGTGCACTTCGGCCAAGTTCCTTAGACTTATTGTGGCTCAGTTACTTCACACATAAAAGCACAATTCTCATAAGGTTGGTGAAATGGTAAAATTAGTTAATACATGTGCTCGGCAGATAGTAGATACTCAACAATGATACTATTAATAGCTTTATAGTTATTTATAAAGCACTGACTATGCATCAAGTATTACACTGGGTACTTGAATGTATGTCCTTTTTTATTATACTTTAAGTTCTGGGGTACATGTGTAGAATGTGCAGATTTGTTACACAGGTATACATGTGCTATGGTGGTTTTTGCTGCACCCATCAACTCGTCATCTACGTTAGGTATTTCTCCTAATGCTATCCCGACCTCCCAACAGGTCCTGGTGTGTGATGCCCCACTGTGTCCATGTGTTCTCATTGTTCAACTCCCACTTATGAGTGAGAACATGTGGTGTTTGTTTTCTATTCTTGTGTTAGTTTGCTGAGAATGATGGTTTCCAGCTTCATCCACGTCCCTGCAAAGGACATGAACTCATCCTTTTTTATGGCTGCATAGTATTCCATGGTGTATATGTGGCACTTTTTAAAATCTAGTCTATCACTGATGGGCATTTGGGTTGGTTCCAAGTCTGCTATTGTGAACAGTGCCACAATAAACATGTGTGTGCATGTGTTTTTATAGTAGAATGATTTATAATTCTTTGGGTATATACCCAGTGATGCAATTGCTGGGTCAAATGGTATTTCTAGTTCTAGATCCTTGAGGAATCGCCACAGTGTCTTCTACAATGGTTGAACTAATTTACACTCCCACAAACAATGTAAAAGTGTTCCTATTTCTGCACATCATCTCCAGCATCTGTTGTTTCCTGACTTTTTAATGATAGCCATTCTAACTGGCATAAAATGGTATCTCATTGTGGTTTTGATTTGCATTTCTTCAATGACAAGTGATGAGCTTTTATTCATGTTTGTTGGCTGCATAAATGTCGTCTTTTTAGAAGTGTCTGTTCATATCCTTCACCCACTTTTTGATGGGGCTGTTTGTTTTATTTTTGTAAAGTTGTTTAAGTTCTTTGTAGATTCTGGATATTAGCTGTATATCAGATGGAGAGACAGCAAAAAATTTTCTCCCATTCTGTAGGTTGCCTGTTCACTCTGATGATAGTTTCTTTTGCTGTGCAGAAGCTCTTTAGTTTAATTAGATCACATTTGTCAATTTTGGCTTTTGTTGCCATTGCTTTTGGTGTTTTAGTCAAGAAGTCTTTGCCCATGCCTATGTCCTGAACGGTATTGCCTAGGTTTTTTCTAGGGATTTTATGGTTTTAGGTCTTACGTTTAAGTCTTTAATCCATCTTGAGTTAATTTTTGTATAAGTTGTAAGGAAGGAATCCAGTTTCAGCTTTCTGCATATGGCTAGCCAGTTTTCCCAACACCATTTATTAAATGGGGAATCCTTTCCCCAGTGCTTCTTTTTGTCAGATTTGTCAAAGATCGGATAGTTGTAGATGTGTAGTGTTATTTCTGAGGCCTCTGTTTTGTTTCATTGTTCTATGTATCTGTTTTGGTACCAGTACCATGCTGTTTTTGTTACTGTAGCTTTGTAGTATAGTTTGAAGTCAGGCAGTGTGATGACTCCAGCTTTGTTTTTTCTGCTTAGGATTGTCTTGGCTATGTGGGCTCTTTTTTGGTTCCATATGAAATTTAAAGTAGTTTTTTTCCCAATTCTGTGAAGAAAGTCAATGGTAGCTTGATGAGGATAGCAATGAATTTATAAATTACTTTGGGCAGTATGGACATTTTCACGACACTGATTCTTCCTATCCATGAGCATGGTATGTTCTTCCATTTGTTTGTGTCCTCTCTTATTTCCTTGAGTGGTAGTTTGTAGTTCTCTTTGAAGAGGTCCTTCACATTCCTTGAAAGTTGTATTCCTAGGTATTCTATTCTCTTTGTAGCAGTTGTGAATGGGAGTTCACTCATGATTTGGCTGTTTGTCTATTATTGGTATATAGGAATGCTTGTGATTTTTGCACATTGATTTTGTATCCTATGACTTTACTGAAGTTGCTTATCAGTGTAAGGAGATTTTGGGCTGAGATGATGGGATTTTCCAAACATACAATCATGTCATCTGCAAACAGACAATTTGACTTTCTCTGTTACTAACTGAATAGCCTTTATTTCTTTGTTTTACCTGATTGCCCTGGCCAGAACTTCCAACACTATGTTGAATAGGAGTGGTGAGAGAGGACATTCTTGTCTTGTGCCAGTTTTCAAAGGGAATGCTTCCAGTTTTTGGCCATTCAGCATGATACTGGCTGTGGGTTCGTCATAAATAGCTCTTATTATTTTGAGATACCCTCCATCAATACCTAGTGTATTGAGAGTTTTCAGCATGAAGGCTGTTGAAGTTTGTTGAAGGCCTTTTCTGCATCTATTGAGATAATCATGTGGTTTTTGTCATTGGTTCTGTTTATGTGATGGATTATGTTTATTGACTTGCATATGTTGAACCAGCCTTGCATCCCAGGGATGAAGCCGACTTGATTGTGGTGGATAAGCTTTTTGATGTGCTGCTGGATTTGGTTTGCCAGTTATTTATTGAGGATTTTCGCATTGATGTTCATCAGGGATATTGCCCTGAAATTTTCTTTTTTTGTTGGGTCTCTGCCAGGTTTTGGTATCAGGATGATTCTGGTCTCATAAAATGAGTTAGGGAGAATTCCCTCTTTTTCTATTGTTGGGAATAGTTTCAGAAGGAATGGTACCAGCTCCTCTTTGTACCTCGAGTAGAATTCAGTTGTGAATCTGTCAGGTCCTGGACTTTTTTGGTTGGTAGGCTATTAATTACTGCCTCAATTTCAGAACTTGCTATCGATCTATTCAGGGATTCAGCTTCTTCCTGGTTTAGTCTTGGGAGGGTGTATGTGTCCAGGAATTTATCCATTTCTTCTAGATTTTCTAGTTTATTTGCGTAGAGGTGTTTATAGTATTCTCTGATGGTAGTTTGTATATGTATGGGATCGGTGACGATATCCCCTTTATAATTTTGTATTGCATCTATTTGATTCTTTTCTCTTTTCTTCTTTGTTAGTCTGGCTAGTGGTCTATTTTCTTGATCTTTTCAAAAAACCAGCTCCTGGATCCACTGATTTTTTGAAGGGTTTTCCCTTTCTCTATCTTCTTCAGTTCTGCAGTGATCTTAGTTATTTCTGGTTTTTTTTTTTTTTTTTTTTTGATGGAGTCTTGCTCTGTCGCTCAGGCTGGAGTGCAGTGGCACGATCTTGACTCACTGTCTTAGTTATTACTTGTCTTCTGCTAGCTTTTGAATTTGCTCTTGCTTCTCTAGTTCTTTTAATTGTGATGTTAGGGTGTCAATTTTAGATCTTTCCTGCTTTCTCTTGTGGGCATTTAGTGTTATAAATTTCCCTCTACACACTGCTTTATATGTGTCCCAGAGATTCTGGCACGTTGTGTCTCTGTTCTCATCAGTATCAAAGAACATCTGTATTTCTGCCTTAATTTCGTTACTTACCCAGTAGTCATTCAGGAGCAGGTTTTTCAGTTTCCATGTAGTTGTGCGGTTTTAAGTGAGTTTCTTAATCCTGAGTTCTAATTTGATTGCACTGTGGTCTGAGAGACTCTTTGTGAGGATTTCCATTCTTTCGCATTTGCTGAGGAGCGTTTTGCTTCCAATTATGTGGTCAATTTTAGAGTAAGTGTGAATTGGTACTGAGAAGAATGTATATTCTGTTGATTTGGGGTGGAGAGTTCTGTAGATGTCTGTTAGGTCTGCTTGGTCCAGAGGTGAGTTGAAGTCCTGGATATCCTTGTTAATTTTCTCTCATTGATCTAATACTGACAGTGGGGTGTTAAAGTCTCTCACTATTATTGTGGGGAGTCTAAGTCTCTTTGTAAGTCTCTAAGAATTTGTTTTATGAATCTGGGTGCTCCTGTATTGGGTGCATATATATTTAGGATAGTTAGCTCTTCTTGTTGCATTGATTCCTTTACCATTATGTAATGCCCTTCTTTGTCTCTTTTGACCTTTGTTGGTTTAAAATCTGTTTTATCAGAGACTAGAATTACAATCCTTGCTATTTTTTTCTTTCCATTTGCTTGGTAAATATTCCTCCATCCCTTTATTTTGAGCCCATGTGTGTCTTTGCACATGAGATGGGTCTCCTGAATACAGCACATTGATGAGTCTTGACTCTTTATCCAATTTGCCAGTCTGTGTTTTTTAATTTGGGCATTTAGCCTGTTTATATTTAAGGTTAATATTGTTATGTGTGAACTTGATCCTGTCATTATGATGCTAGCTAGTTATTTTTCCCGTTAGTTCATGCAGTTTCTTCATAGTGTCAATGGTCTTTACAATTTGGTACGTTTTTGCAGTGGCTGGTACCGGTTGTTGCTTTCCATTTTTAGTGCTTCCTTCAGGAGCTCTTGTAAGGCAGGCCTGCTGGTGACAAAATCTCTCAGCATTTGCTTGTCTTTAAAGGATTTTATTTCTCCTTCACTTATGAAGCTTAGTTTGGCTGGATGTGAAACTCTGAGTTGAATATTCTTTCCTTTAAGAATGTTGAATATTTGCCCCCACTCTCTTCTGGCTTGCAGGGTTTTTACAGCGAGATCTGCTATTAGTCTGATGGGCTTCCCTTTGTGGGTAACCCGACCTTTCTCTCTGGCTGCCCTTAACATTTTTTCCTTCATTGCAACCTTGGTGAATCTGACTATTATGTTCTTGGGGTTGCTCTTCTCAAGGAGTATCTCTGTGGTGTTCTCTGGATTTCCTGAATTTGAATATTGGTCTGCCTTACTAGGTTGGGGAAGTTCTCCTGGATAATATCCTGAAGAGTGTTTTCCAACTTGGTTCCATTCTCCCGTCACTTTCAGGTACACCAGTCAAACGTATATTTGGTCTTTTCACATAGTCCCATATTTCCTGGAGGATTTGTTCATTTCTTTTCACTCTTTTTTCTCTAATCTTGTCTTCTCACTTTATTTCATTGAGTTCACCTTCAATCTCTGATATCCTTTCTTCTGCTTGATGGATTCAGCTATTGGTACTTGTGTATGCTTCACGAAGTTCTCATGCTGTGTTTTTCAGCTCCATCAGGTCATTTATGTTCTCCTCTAAACTGGTTATTCTAGTTAGCAATTTCTCTAACCTTTTTTCAAAGTTCTCAGCTTCATTGCATTGGGTTAGAAAATGCTCCTTTAGCTCGGAGGAGTTTGTTATTACCCACCTTCTGAAGCTTACTTCTGTCATTTTGTCAAACTCATTCTCCATCCAGTTTTGTTCCCTTGTTGGCAAGAAGTTGTGATATTTGGAAAGAAGAAGTGTTTCAGTTTTTGGAATTTTCAGCCTTTTTGTGCTGGTTTCTCCCCATCTCCATGGATTTATCTACCTTTAGTCTTTGATGTTGGTGACCTTTGGATGGAGTCTCTTGAGTGCATGTCCTTTTTGTTGATGTTGATACTATTCCTTTCTGTTTGTTAGTTTTCCTTCTAATAGGCTCCTCTGCTGCAGGTCTGCTGGAGTTTGCTGGAGGTCCACTCCAGACCCTGTTTGCCTGGGTATCACCAGTGGAGGCTGCAGAACAGCAAAGATTGCTGCATGTTCCTTCCTCTGGAAGCTTCTTCCCAGAGGCGCACCCACCAAATGTCAGCCAGAGCTCTCCTGTATGAGGTGTCTGTTGGCCCCAGTCAGGATACATGGGGGTCAGGGACCCACTTCAGGAGGCAGTCTGTCCCTTATTAGAGCTCGAACACTATGCTGGGAGATCTGCTATCTTCACAGCTGTCAGGCAGGGACATTTAAGTCTGTTGAAGCTGCACCCACAGCCACCCCTTCCCCCAGGTGCTCTGTCCCAGGAAGATGAGGATTTTATCTCTAAGTACCTGAGTGGGGTTGCTGTCTCTCTTTTCAGAGATGCCCTGCCCAGAGAGAAGGAATCTAGAGAGGCAGTCTGGCCGCAGCAGCCTTGCTGAGCTGCAGTGGGCTCCACCCAATTCCAACTTCCCAGTGGCTTTGTTTACATTGTGAGGCTAAAACTGCTTACTCATGCCTCAGCAATGGCAGATGGCCCTCCCCTGACCAAGCTGGAGCAACCGAGGTCAACCTCATACCCCTGTGCTAGCAGTGAGAATTTCAAGCCAGTGGATCTTTGCTTGCTGGGGTCCGTGGGGGTGGGACCTGCCGAGCCAGACCACTTGGCTCCCTGGCTTCAGATCTCCTTCTGGGGGAGTGAATGGTTCTGTCTCGCTGGTGTCCCAGGTGCCACTGGGGTATGAAAAAAACTTCTGCAGCTAGCTTGGTGCCTGCCCAAATAGCCACCCAGTTTTGTGCTTGAAACCCAGGGCCCTGGTGGCGTAGGCAGTGGAGGGTATCTCCTGGTCTGCTGGTTGCAAAGACTGTGGGAAAAGCACGGTATCTGGGCTGGAGTGCACCATTCCTCTCGGTACAGTCTCTCACGGTTTCCCTTGGCTAGAGGAGATTCCCCAACCCCTTGTGCTTCCCAGGTGAGGTGACACCCCACCCTGCTTCTGCTCACCCTCTGTGGGCTGCACCCATTGTCCAACCAGTCCCAGTGAGATGAACTGGGTACCTCGGTTGGAAATGCAGAAATCACCCGCCTTCTGCATTGATCTTGCTGGGAACTGCAGTCTGGAGCTGTTCCTATTCGGCCATCTTGCCAGCTACCCCCCCTTTTTTTTTTTTGGAGATGGAGTTTTGCTCATCACCCAGGCTGGAATGTAATGGTGCGACCTCTGCTCACTGCAACCTCCTCCTCTGGGGTTCAAGTGATTCTTCTGCCTCAGCCTCCCAAGTAGCTGGGATTATAGGTTCATACCACCACACCAGGCTAAGTTTTGTATTTTTAGTAGAGACAACGTTTCACCATGTTGGCCAGGCTGGTCTTGAACTCCTGACCTCAAGTGATCCACCTGCCTCAGCCTCTCAAAGTGTTGGGATTACAGGCGTGAGCCACCGTGCTTGGCCTGTATGTCATTTAAAAAATTCTCAACAACCATAGGGCTTAGAAGTTGTTGTTGGTGGTGGTGGGTTTGTGTGTGTGTGTGGTTTTTGAAATGGAGTTTCATTCTTCTTGCCCAGGCTGGAGTGCAATGATGTGATCTCAGCTCACCGCAACCTCCACCTCCTGGGTTCAAGCAGTTCTCCTGCCTCAGCCTCTCAGGTAGCTGGGATTACAGGCGTGTGCCACCATGCCTGGCTAGTTTTGTATTTTTAGTAGAGATGGGGTTTCACCATGTTGGTCAGGCTGGGCTCTAGCTCCTAACCTCAAATGATCCACCTGCCTCAGCCTCCCAAAGTCCTTGGATTATAGGCATGAGCCACCGCACCCAGCTGGCTTAGAAGTTTAAAGGGTTATATGGCTCATCCACCCAAGACTGTAAAGCTGGGGTTCATGAGTCTGAAACCCAGAGGTGTGAATCAAACCAAGGAAAGTGCCCTTTCCATTATGTTATTTTGAAAGAAGACAAAATAACACTGTATCTTCCATTCATACCAGGGTTCCATGCCGCTTTACCTTTCCCCCTGTAGACTGCATGATGAAGAAATACTGAAAGGAAAAGTTTGATTTGGCTTTGCCAGGAAATACTTGATGTTATTACCCTACCTCAAATATTAACTTCAGCAATATGTGGCTCAAATTCTAGATGTTATCAGCTTCAGCGAGGATGACACTTACCTTGTATTATGGCCAAGAGAATGACAATAACAAAGAAGAAGAAAGTGATGTCAAAGATAATTCGATAGATCTCATATTCATCTCCTGCTGGGTCTTCGATTTCATCCCCGATCCCTCCTCCAGCACGAACTCCAACATACATGTGGAACATATAGCACTGGAAAAAAGACATGGTGTCACTTCTTGGAGGGACATTACCCACTTTTATTCTTGACAAACCCGAGTTCTCTCTGTAGTTCCTAATCCTCACTCTGGAAGTGAGAATTATTGCATTCTATATTGCCTCTCTTTGTTTCAATATTTGTAGCTGTGAAGCAAACACTTGGCTTTTGCATGTTGCTGTCTTTTAAACAAAAGTGTATACTGCATACTCTGCCTAGCACTTTCTCTCTCACTTTGGAGAAAATGGAAAATTTTCTAGTATCTTGTGTCTTATATCTAGTATCTTGGCTAGTATCTTGGCTCTGAACCATCTGTTCTAATGAGGTAATCATATTATGAACACATTAAGGGACATACAACTATATTGCATTGTTCAGTTATTTTGGACATAACAGACACTGGAAAGGTGAGGTAGTAAGATGGAATCTTAGAAACTAAGCTAGAAGAAAACATACTAACGCCCTCCCCTCACCTAGTATATATGAAATATGATGCTGAAATTCTTTTCTACTTTAATATCTACAATAAAAAAGAGAAGAGACCTGAGGAAGAAATAGCATCTTATTGTTTAAATCCTAAAACATCAAAACCACCAACAAACACAGCTGCCTGTGCCTACTGCTAAAATACGAGGGTTTCATTAAAGTGCATTTTAGGGCAGTGTTCTCAGCCTCAGCACCAGTGACATTTTAGGCTGGATAATTCTTTGGGCAGGGGCTATCCTGTGCACTGTACGCTATTTTAAAAAGATCCCTTGGTCTCTACCCCTTAGATACCAATAGCACCCTACCTCATAATGACAATAACAGATATCTCCAGATACCAAATGTCCTGGGGGCGGGGTGGGGGGTAGTGAGGAATGAAGTCATGCTGGATTGAGAGTCACTAGCTTGGAGCATCCAATATTTTATCCTCATTTAAGCTGAGTCCAAACTCCTTTTTCAGGCCCTTGAATTTAGCCACACTCACCTTTCCCAAAAACCTCCCTCTCCGCTCTCTCCACTCTTCATACCTCCTCCAAATGAACTATTCCTGATTCTAGATCTTTGCTCGTACATTCTCCTTCTCTTGCAATAGCCTTTTCCATTCTTACCCTATTCCTACTCATCCTGTAGGGCCTAAATTAATAATCCTTCCTCTGAGATTTTCTTAGACTGTCCCAGATACCCTGACTTAATGGATGTGTCACCTATCAATTCAAAACCTAGTTAGTTGCTGCTGACCAGAACAAAGGGGACAAAAGCCTAAACACAGAAACACCACACTCTTCTGCTTCTCTTCATTTCTGGCCATTGCTTCCCAGTCTCCTTTGCCAAATCTTCCTCATCTCCCTGTGGCTTCATGAACAGTTGCTCCAGGACTGGATTCTTTGACCTTTTTCCTTCTAGGACACTCCCTTGGGGGAAGCTTCCCGGTTTCATGGCTTTAAGTTTCATCTCTGTGCCAATTACACTCATTTCTATTTCCAGCCTGGACCTTTTTCTTGAATTCCACACTTGGATATCCAGCTTGCTTGTTTTTTTGTTGTCTATTTCATTCCCCTAGGACTGACTGCATTCCAACAAGAAATGCTTTGGTTATTACTCTGTTGCCAGTGCCTTACCATGAGCACATGGTCAGTCCTCAGATCATTTGTGGGATGAATGAGGAGCAAGACCTGCTATTTTCATGGAGCCTTCACTGCCTCAACCCACAGATCTCACATTCTCAGGACACTTGGAAAAGCCCAATGTGTAGGCAAAGAGCAGCCAACAAGGTGATACCAAAATGCCCACAGCTCAACTCTGAGTTCAACAGCTGATGGATCTGTTAGATGCAGAGGAGAAAAAGTCTCCTGGGTTAGATGGCTGGAATTTAGGGAACAGAATTAAATGTGTAAAAATTTGGAAACGTTTTATCAGCCTGGCATACAAGGATGAGATTGGGCACATTCAGGGTGGTATGGTCGTAGACTCAGCCTGGCATATAATAAACAGCATTACAAGGCCAGCTCAGCCAGTGCCCACCCAAGATCTGGTCCGGAGCCCAGGTTAGCGGTCTCTTTTGCAGAAAGGCCCACGAGATCCTTAGAGCCAGATTAGCCTGATGGGGTCTAAGCCTAACCTCATCTCAGAGCCTCCTGGATGGGAGAACATTCTGGGTTCCTGGTACTACCTACTGAATCAATCTCTGGAAGTAAAATCTTACAGACCATCCATCACTTAAAAAAAAAATCCTGAAGCCACTGCTGTAGTTTCTCAAAGCTTGGTGCTTGAAACTGCTAATAGTGAATCTGTGAGAAGGGGAAACTATTTTCACCATATACTGAGGCATACTGTTTGCATTTGTTTTACCACACATTTCTTATTTTTATTAAGAATTGGATTGCCTTTCTTTTTTCTTCTTCTTCTTCTTTTTTTTTTTTTTTGATGGAGTCTTGCTCTGTCTCCCAGGCTAGAGTACAATGGTGCATTCTCCACTCACTGCAACCTCCACCTCCCAGGTTCAAGCGATTCTCCTGCCTCAGCCTCCTGAGTAGCTGGGATTACAGGTGCCTGCCACCATGCCCAGCTAATTTTTGTATTTTTAGTAGAGATGGGGTTTCACCATGTCGGCCAGGCTGGTCTCGAACTCCTGACCTCAGGTGATCCGCCTGCCTCGGCCTCCCAAAGTGCTCGGATTACAGGCTTGAGTCACCACGCCCAGCCTGGATTACTTTTCTCCAAATCTGTGTCTTCATTTGTATTTAATTGTGACTACAGGAAATCAATAAAGAGTAGTTAACGCAGCTTCTTTCCCCTTTAGTTAGACCATCTTTCCCATTGCTCATGTTTCCCTGACTTCACAAGTAGCTTTGTGCTTGCAACTCCCCTCCGGGGATTTCTCTGAGGACTCAGTTTGGATAGTATACCTGGCTCTGGACTGGTACTCCTCTATGTCAAGTTCTGGTCCCCTGGGTCCCCATTCCAATCCCCACAGTGAACCAACAGTGGATTGTGCAGTTCCCAGTCCAGGTCTTGGAATGTCCTAGCTCTCCATCCCTGCTTGTTATGTGTGACAGCACTAGTGGCTGAGATCACCCAGCAACTGATGGAGGAACTGATCATCCATCAGTTCCTCTTGGTGATTCCTGCTGACCAAGACTCTTGGTCTTGCACTTGGGAGTCGTTGGGTCTTGGGCTATAATTTGGCTTCCCATATAGGTGTTTGTCTAGGGAAGAGACAACTTGTTGCATTAACTCTTAATGAGTAGCATGTTGGTATTGTGACTTATACATCAGACTTATGTAATACTGGTTCATGTGAGTCTGTCCCCAAAAGGATGATTCACTTGTAGTTTCTAGACATGTAATGTTGAAGATAGGACCACGGAATGAGGCTAAATTACCAAGGAAAATGTTTCCTTCTTTGCAGATCCCTTGTCAGTCATCTAACCAACCTTTCCTGGAAACACCCTTCCTCACTGCTCTCCTTCATTTTACATCAGCTTTATGCACTGTGATGAAGGGATGCCAGCAGAGATCAACAGTGGATTTAACAGTCATGCTGAAAAGAGAGTCTTGTGCATTTGATTATTTAGGCTTAATAAATTACCAAATTTAAAAAGAATAAAATGTACAGTTCACCTGTGGGATGTTGATACTGATTTTCCCAGCCTCATCCTTTACTACCTGGTCAGCCCTAGACAATTGTATGTAGTTGGCTGTGGTGTTGGAATAGGAGGTATGTGGTGAATAACTTCTAATACATGGCTGTCAGACTGTCAGCTACCAAATTATCCTGCTGCAACTGAAAATCCTTTTATCCACCTTTCTTTTCATAGAATCAGCCTAAACCTGATAATGAGGGCTGGAAGTGGAGAGAAGTAATTCTGTGAGACAAAAAGATAAGCTGCTTTCAGACAATCTGAGTAATGAGTTAGGAAGGTGCCTGGTCCTACAAAAATTGAGAAGAGGAAGTTGTTGATTCCCAAGACGTTATAGTCTGCGGCTTCCCTCCCTCATCCATCTCCTAAATGGATTCATTCTGAGGTTGATCATAGTTTCTATGGGTTTTAGGGAATACTAAGGGTCAGCTGCTGGTGAAAATCCTTATGAGACCTTCATCTTGGCAAAAAAAAAAAAAAAAAAAAAAGTAAAAGAAAACAAAGGAAACACGAGGAGAGAATTTGGAGAGAGAGAACTAGAGAGACAGATTATTTGTTGGGAAGGTAGGGTAAAATAAGTGACGACAATTAAGTGAGGTAATGTAGAACAATTATCCAAGTAAGTTTATTTCCCTAGGAGTGTACTTTTCATCTTAATCACCTGCAAAGCTATTTTTCCCCAAGTGCATAGGTCTTGACACCTTCCCTGCAGCCTCTGGTTCGGGGGTCCCTCTCCGTCTGAGACGAACATTCTCCTTTATGTCAAGTCAGTCTCCCTGGCTATCTAGTGACAATCATCTTTTTACCTTGGACTTTACATCATTTCTCACTTTTCCCTCCTACGTTCTTGTAGAGGAGGTTCAAATTCTATCAGGATACTGCTGGTTTAATTAGATTCTCAGGCTCAAAATATCCTAATCTGGAAAAAAAAAAAAATCCCCGTGTGACTTGTCTATAACACTGCAGCTATGGCGCCACCTACTGTAAATTATGAAAAACAGAAGGGCGAGTTGCCTACTTGCAAAACCTAAGGTGTTCTCTCAGATCCACAGAAAACAACAAAGAAACTCAGGATGAAGTGAATACAGTGTGACATGAGTGAGGAAAATTTATCTCAAGAGAGAATATAGACATCGCCCTGTGAAAGGAAATGTTCAAGAGACTGTCATAAAGAAAGGATTATCTTTGGAGAACTAAATTAAAGAAACGAAATCTTTCTGTTTCCTATTCTGTGCTACTTTCTTGCTGGCAGGCTGGTTTTAATAAGCCTCTACTTTGAAAGTGCACTACTGTAAGTCATCAGTTACATTTTAAATTTTATTGGCTTTTTAAAGAAGCCCCTGCACAAGTACTAGTAAGAAGCAAATCAA